TTTTTTAAGAGAGGTAAAAGTTTGCACAGTTTAAATCTTTTGTCAGTACTCCTTAGATCTTTGGTTGAGTAAACATTCTTTGCAATAACCTAGGAGGACAGGAGTATCCCTCTGTCAGCGCAGGGAAACAAATTTTGAGGAATAAAATGATGGACGTTTTAACATTTGCTTTCAAGAGTACAGATGGATGTGTAAAGGGGTTGGATTATGATGGAACAATGTGTATAGTGTCAACAGACTTGAGATGACTCAGAGGTGATGTATAAATTCGCAATGTTCCACATACAATGCAGCTATAATTTATGTTGATTCTAATTCATGTTAAAGTAAAAATTACAAGAAGTGGAATCTATTGATAACATAATCATGGGAACATAGCCAGCTGCAAGTTCCTCTCCAAGCTGCTCACCATCCTGACTTGGAAAAATATCGCTGTTCCTTCAGTGTTGCCAGTGCAACAGGATGGACCTTCCTCCCTAACAGCAATGTGAGTCTACCTTCACCAGATGGATTGCAGCAGTTCAAGCAGTTCAACACCACCTTCGAAGGCAACTAGGGATGGCAATGAATGCTGGCCACCTAGCCTCGCACACATCATATGAGTCAATAAAAAAAAAGTTGGGATCATTCAGGAAATTTGATTATTTGATTATGGTTCACTCATGGGTTCATAACAATGGAAGCATTTTTAATTAGTGTGTCTAGCCTAGTCAGGGGCAGCACAGTGACTCAGTGGTTAGCACTGCTGCCTCATAGCGCGAGGGACCCGGGTTCAATTCCAGCCTTGGGCGACTGTCTGTGTGGAGTTTGCACATTCTTCCCGTGTCTGCGCAGGTTTCCTCCGGGTGCTCCGGTTTCCTCCTACAGTCCAAAGATGTGCAGGGTAGGTGAATTGGCAATGCTATAGTGCCCAGGGATGTTTAGGTTAGATCTGTTAGACATGGGAAATGCAGGGTTAGGGGAATGGGTCTGGGTGGGATGTCCTTCGGAGGGGCGGTGTGGACCTGTTGGGCCAAATGGCCTGTTTCCACACTGTAGGGATTCTACCATCTGTGAACAACCTGATTCTAAATATAGAATAATCTACAAAAAAAAGACTGATTATAGTACAACAAAACAATTAAAGTCATTTTATTTAAAAGCTTTTAAAATTTGTCTATTAGTGTCCCTAATCTTTAAAAAAAAATTAGTTTAAGTAACTCCTCAAAGTCACACAAATGGGTACTGTTTGTGGAAATTTACAATAGTGATCGTTTGGATTTATGAGCATGGACAGATTTGTTTATAGGGCTAAATTGCACTGTAATGTATTATAATTAATGATTACTGGAAAAGGTGAGGTGGTATAAAGGGGTAATCTGTGATTGATGGAAGGCAGCTGAGATTAAATGGCAAAGGGTTCTTTGGTGCAAAGGCCAAGGGAGAGGTAATAAAGTTATAGCTCAATTTGCACATAAAATAATCTGTGATTGAAATCCCTTGATCTTTTGTACGGATTTGGTTTATTTCAGACAAATTACATTGAGAAATGTCATTGAATGTTCCGGCCATTTCTTTCACACACTTGACTACTTGAACTTTCCAACCTCATCTCCATAAAAGCCAGATACAGTCTAATAGTCTCCTAGCCTAAAATAGAAACATAACATGCTGTAAATACCCATCAGATCTGGCAACATCTGCGGAGAAAGAAATCAAGCTGATGTTTTTAAATCTAGTCCTTTCATCAGAACTGGAAAATGAACCCAACATTCAGTTCAACAATTTTAGGTTGTAAATTTGTCCCCATTTTAATTTGTTACTTTCAGTGGTAGTGGTGTGTTGGGGGAGGTGCTCATTTATCTTATTTCTTTACAATACTTCTAGTCAACAGCTATTCAGGAATCTGCCATTTGTACTACCACTCCATCCACTTTTTTTGGTTCTTTACTAATCTCATTATCTCTCACTTTGGCTTTGCACCATAAAATCCTTTGTTTTATCTCTCCTTCTTCTTTTTTACCACCTCACCTTTTTCATTCCTCGTTCTTGATTAATAAGGGGATCAAAGGTTTCGGGGAGAAGACAGGAAAGTGGTTTTGAGAAACATAACCATGATTGAATGGTTCAGCATACTCAATGGGCCAAATGGCCTAATTCTGCTGCAATATCTTATGATCTATTTCCTTATTATATTTCTAATTTTACCAAGTTCTGATGCGAGGTCACAAACAAAAAAAACCTCAATTTCTCTCTGCACAACTGCTGCTAAATCTGCTGAGTGTTTCCTTATTTTCTGTTTATTTTCAAATTTTCAGCATGTGCAGTATTTTACTTTTGTATTAGTCTTCCCAATAGTCCTTTTAGCCTTTAGTGACTTACGTGACTACACCCAACTTTAAAAATAACTAGCAAATGAAGGGAGTATGGATGGACACTATGTACAGCTTCAGGTAAACTGCGCTGAAAAAAATTAGCAACAGCAACTGAAAGTCCAGGGCATTTGTTTCATTTGACCTCCTGGCTTGCATTTGACTTGGATTGTGACATGTGAATCAAGATATAATTGGATAAGTAAGCATGTAGAAAATACATAAGTGGCATACAGCCCATCTTACACCATGTGAGAACCCCATGTATCATTAGGCTGAAAGTAGCTAACAGGTTCTTTAAGGTCTGATCAAAACGATTACAAGGAGACATGCACTTCAATACATAGCTAACTTATCAGCTTAATCTACTTAATATGTATACAAACTAATGATGAATTTATTGGCTTAAACCGCAGGACTTATACAATTAATGGTACGGCCCTGGATAGTGTTGTAGAACAGAGAGACCGTGGAAATCAGGTACATAATTCTTTGAAATTTGTGTCACAGGTAGACAGTGTGGTTAATAAGGCATTTAGCATGCTTGCCTTAATTGCTCAGACCTTTGAGAATAGGAACCGAAAGGACTGTGGATACCGTAAATCAGGAACAAAAACAAAGTTGCTAAAGAAGCTCAGCAGGTCTGGCAGCATGTGAAGGGAAAAAAACAGAGTTAACGTTCGGATCCGGTAACCCTTTCTCAGGGTTTCTCCTATTCCTGAGAATAGGAGTTGGGTTGTCATGTTGAGGTTGTACAGGACATTGGTGAGACTGTTTCTGGAGTACTGTGTGCAGTTCTGGTCACCCAGTTATTGGAATAGCATTATTAAACTGGAAAGGACTCAGAAATGATTTACCAGGATGTAGCCAGGAATGGAGGGTTTGAGTTATAAAAATAGGCTGAATAGGCTGGGACTTTTTTCACTGGAGCATAGGAGGTTGAGGGTGACCTTATAGAGGTTTGTAAGGTCATGAGGGGCAAAGATAAGGGGAATAGCAATGGTCTTTTCCCTATGGTGGGGCAGTTCAAAACTAGGGGGCATTTTTCAAAGTGAGAGGGGAAAGAACAGGTGGAGGACAAAGTGGATATTTTTAGTTTGGAGAAATTAACTGAATTACAATAGAAAGATGAAAAAATAGTGCAGTTATGTCATAAAGTATACGTAGAAGAAGAATCTGAGTGTATCCTAGAATGTTACTATCTTAAGAACAAAGTTTTGATGCTGAAATGGAGACCATCACATATTCAGGCAAATGAAAAATGGGCAGGAGGTTCATCAAGTTACATTACAAATAGGTTATAGAAAAGAGGTATTGCAGGTAGCACATGAGTTACCAGCAGGAGGTCATTTGGGAGTAAGGAAAACTCAAGACAAAATATAAAAGCATTTTTATTGGCATGGACTGCATAAGGATGTAGTTGAATTTTGCCGGACATGTCACACGCATCAGGTAATAGGAAAACGTCAGGCAGTGATAAAACCAGCATCCTTATTATCCATTCCAACATTTGAGGAACTTTTTAACAAGAGTGTTGATTGATTGCATAGGACCCCTAACTAAAACATAAAGTAGGAATGAGTATTTGTTGATCATAATGAATGTATCTATGAGACTTCCAGGGGCAATTCTATTATGCAAAATCATGGCTAAAAGGATTCCTGCTCCTCTGATGCTGCCTGGCCTGCCGTGTTACTCCAGCTCTACACTGTGTTATCTCTTACTTTCTCACAAAAGCTCATGTCATGTTCCGAGGCCATATCATTAGACATGGACAGAAAGCCTCAGAGAATATGAAAACAAAAGTTCTTGGGGAGTGTCTTTTTTTTAATTCATTCAGGAGATAAGCATGTCACTGGGTAGGCCAACATTTATTGCCCATCCCTCATTGCCAGAGGCAGTTAAGAGTCAACCACATTGCTGTGGATCTGGAGTCACATGTAGGCCAGACCAGGTAAAGATGGAAGTTTCCTTCCCGAAAGGACATTCGTGAACCAGTTATGTTTTTCCGACAATGCACAATGGATTCATGGTGACTTTTAGACTCTTAATTCCAGATTTTTTAAACATTCAAATTCCATCTACCATGGCAGAGTTCAAACCAGGTCCACAGAACATCATGTGGGTCTCTAGTTTGATAGTCTAGCAATAATACCAATCGCCCATCTCCTCCCCCATACCATCGACAAACAGAGAAGTACTACAGTTCGTGGGACTGAGTGGTTTTCATCAAAAACTGAATCAGATTTTTCAGTGTGGTTGCTCCACAGACAGACCTTATGAAGAAATGCCCAAAATTTCAGTGGATAGAGAAGTATCAGAAGGCATTTGACACCTGAAAGTTATCCACTGGCTCTGGTGTTAGCAACAGCTAATTATGCAAAGCCATTCAAGGTCCTACCAATGCAAGTGATGTGGGTGTCAGTGTTGTACCCTTACAAGAAGATGACGAGAGGATAGAAAGACCTATTGGATATTTCTCCAGAAAGTTGAATATACATCAAAAGAAATACTCAACCATTGAAAAAAAGACCTTGACTTTGGTGTTGTTGTTGCAACATTTATATTGCCAGTAATGTATTGGAGACAATTGCATATACTGGTCATACCCCTCAACGTTTTTGGAAAAATGTAAAGATAAAAATATCAGACTGTTTAGATGGAGTTTATTGTTAAAGCCATTCCACTTGAAGGTTGTACATGTAGCAGGACGAGAGAACGTGGTTGGTGATGCATTGTCACAACTTTAATGAAGGAAGGTGGAGGTGTATGGTGGCGGAAGAAATGGACTGAGATGGACTATAATATTAAATGTTTGCATGCTCGGGTTTAGTGGAATACATATATTAGATAAAATGTAGAGTACTACCGGCATGAAACTAAAGGTTTTGAAAATGAAACCATCATTGTATACTGATAATTCTTTAAGGAGGGTGGTGCAATGATATGTGACTCTAAGAGGTATTTGTTCTGTCCTATTTTTCTTAAAGAGGGCATTACCAACCAGGTACCGACATATCTGCTCCATTGAAAGCAGTGTAAATAGCTTTGAGTTTTTTTCCAAAATTTCACCAGAAGTAGCATGAGTGGGTGCAGTCAGACTCACACAGACCCAGGGTTTTTAGTTTTGCTTTCAGTTGTTGAAGTTGACGTTTTTGGAGTTGAAGCTGCTCTCTGCTGCTGCAAGAAGCTTGATTTCCTTCACGGCTCTAGATTCATTCTGTCAGTGTTCCTTTCTCCTGGACTGGAGGAGATAGCAAGTGAGGGAAATCTGTTATAGAAACATAGAAAATACGTGCAGGAGTAGGCTATTTGGCTGTTTGAGCTCGCACCGCCATTCAATGCAATCATGGCTGATCATGCAATCTCACTATACCATTCACACCCTCTCCCCACACTCCTTGATCCCTTTAGATGCAAGGGCCACATCCACTCCCTCTTGAATATATCTCATGAACTAGCCCTGACAGCTTCCTGTGGGATAGAATTCCACAGGTTCACAACTCTGAGTGAAGAAATTCTTCTTCATCTCAGTCCTAAATGGCTTACCACTTATTCTTAGACTGTGACCCCTAGTTATGGACTTCCCCAACATTAGGAACATTCTTCCCGCATCTAGGCTGTCGAGTCACATCAGGATTTTGTATGTTTCTATGCGGTCCCCCCTCATTCTTCTAAATTCCAGTGAATGCAAGCCCAGTCAATCCAACCTTTCCTCATATGTCAGTCCTGCCATCCCCAGAATCAGTCTGGTGAACCTTCGCTGGACTCCCTCAATAGCAAGAATGTCTTTCCTCAGACTAGGAAACCAAAACTGCACACAGTACTCAAGTTGTGGCCTCATCAAGGCCCTTATAACTGTAGCAAAAATCCTTACTCCGATACTCAAATCCTCTTGCTATGAAGGAGAACATACCATTAGTTTTCCTCAATACCTGCTGCACCTGCATGCCAACCTTCAGCAACTGTTTCACCATGACACACAGGTCTCATTGCAGGGATGTACTACTGAGGTTTTAGAAGGCTCTGGTCAGGCCACATTTGGAGTATTGTGTGCAGTTTTGGGCCCCATATCTCAGGAAGGATGTACTGGCCCTGGAGCAGGTTGAGAGGAGGTTCACAAGAATGGTCCCAGGAATGGAAAGCTTAACATATGAGGAACGTTTGAGGACTCTGAATCTATAGTCGTTGGAGTTTAGAAGGATGAGGGGGATCTAATTGAAACTTACAGAATACTGAATGGCCTGGACAGAGTGGACATTGGGAAGATGCTTCCATGGGTAGGAGAGTCTAGGACCCGTGGGCTTAGAGTAAAGGGAAGACCTTTTAGGACGGAGATAAGGTGAAACTTCTTCAGCCAGAGAGTGGTGAATCTATGGAATTCACTGCCACAGAAGGCTGTGGAGGCCAGGTCATTGAGTACATTTAAGACTGAGATAGATAGGTTCTTGATTATCAAGGGTTACAGTAAGAAAGCGGGAGAATGGGGTTGAGGAACTTATCAGCCATGATTGAATGGCAGAGTAGACCCGATGGGTTGAATGGCCTAATTTCTGCTCCTGTGTCTTATGGTCTTAAACAAAACCCATTGATGCTACCTCACTGATAGTAGGAACTGCAGATGCTGAAGAATCTGAGATAACAAGGTGTAGAGCTGGATGAACACAGCAGGCCAAGCATCATCAGAGGAGCAGGAAAGCTGACGTTTCAGGCCTAGACCCTTCTTCAGAAATGGGGGAGGGGAAGGGGGTTCTGAAATAAACAGGGAGAGAGGGGGAGGCGGATAGAAGATGGATAGAGGAGAAGATAGGTGGAGAGGAGACAGACGGGTCAAAGAGGCGGGGATGGAGCCAGTAAAGGTGAGTGTAGGTGGGGAGTTAGGGAGGGGATAGGTCAGTCCAGGGAAGATGGCAGGTCAAGGGGGCGGGATGAGGCTGGTAGGTAGGAGATGGGGGTGGGGCTTGAGGTGGGAGGAGGGGATAGGTGGGAGGAAGGACAGGTTAGGGAGGCGGGGACAAGCTGGGCTGGTTTTGGGATGCGGTTGCAGGAGGGGAGATTTTGAAGCTTGTGAAGTCCACATTGATACCATTGGGCTGCAGGGTTCCCAAGCAAAATATGAGGTGCTGTTCCTGCAACCTTCGGGTGGCATCGTTGTGGCACTGCAAGAGGCCCAGGATGGACATGTCGTCTGAGGAACGGGAGGGGGAGTTGAAATGATTCGCGACTGGGAGGTGGAGTTGTTTAGTGCGAACTGAGCGTAGGTGTTCCGCAAAGCGGTCCCCAAGCCTCCACTTGGTTTCCCCGATGTAGAGGAGGCCACAACGGGAACAGCGGATACAGTATACCACATTAGCAGATGTGCAGGTGAACATCTGCTTGATGTGGAAAGTCTTCCTCAGTGCTGGTAGAGCCCACAGACTACTTAAGAGGGTTAGAAGAAAGTCTCTGAGGGTTCTGTTCCATCAGGACCATCATGACCCAAGTGAGAGATGATTTGCAAATAATTGCCTAGGCTGTGGTCACCATGTTAGGGGAATTTGGATAGATGCAACTGAATGCAGCGAGAGGCTGAAACAACTGGATGGAAAGTGAGAATTCCCACATAATTGAGGCTGAGTTGTAAAGTCTGAAATTACATGCATGTCCAATTTAGGCATGAAGTAATTCAAGTGATCTTAGCTATCTGAGACATATTTTTGTTGCACGATTTAAGTTGAAAGTTACCTTGTTTGAAATATCCTTCACCGGTTAACTAGTACTTGAGGTGTGTAACAATAAAAGATTTTAAAAGTTAAATCTTCCCACTGATGATCTTGTCTATTGGTTTTCTTTTCATTGGCTTCGTGGGATTCTTTCCTTTAGAAGTTGTCAGTCTCTAGTACAACAGGGATTGTAACACAGTATGTGCAATGTAATAATATAATTCATAACTCTTTTCCATCTGTTTCAGACAGCTGGTGACTCAGCATGTTGGTGTTCCAACATGCTATGTAACAAAGCAGTAGAACATGATGTTTGAACTTGCATTTGCACCACATAGTGAGTTTATGATTTCTGTCTAAGCATCTGTGGAAGAAGTATTGTATTTAAGTTGGAAATTACTACAGGAATGGTAAAGCAGTCATATCCCATATTTCACCATACTTATTGACCTGGATTTTAGCCAGGAGTCAATTTCTCTGAGTGGAATGATTCTTGTGGCTGCTAATGTCTGTTCAGAAAACACAGCAGAACAGGTTTCCTGAACATTCTTCAGGATTTAATTTCAGGGCTCCTTTTGTCTTTCTTTCTTACCAAACACCCTGATTGACAGGGTAGAAGAGTTTTAGAAGGCAAACATGTGTCACATGGCTGTTGTACAACAGCAGATAGGAGTACTAAAAGACTGGAAGAGATGTACAAAGGAGTCCTGATAATGGTGGATGGCAGGATTCTGATGGTGATTGAGGCTATCCTGATTAAAAAGGTGAAGTTTTGAATGCGGTCATGTATGGGTGGTGGGTTTGTTTTAATGATGTTTGGGGAAACAGACAAATGCAGGAGAATATGATTTATTGGGTAATTGTTTGGCCTGGAGAAAATACTCCCGTTCCTCCTGCGCATAAGCAGTGCTATAAAGCAATTTAGCTAATTAATTTGACGTTTCTCACCTCCTCTCAACTGTAAGTTTCCCAACATTTAGTAACAATGGCCATCTGTGAATGGTTAAAAATAGATTGAGTACTAAACTAAAGGCAAACAGCATTATTATAATACCTAAATGATGGACGAGTTCCCACAAGTGCTTGCAACTTGTCCAGTCTGTTAAAACCAAATTTAGGCAGGTTCAAGGCTGGATTGGTTCTTACTCCAGATTTTCATAGAATCATAGAATCCCTCCAGTGTTGAAACAGGCCCTTCAGCCCAACAAGTCCACACCAACCCTTGGAACATCCCACCCTGACCCAACCCCTTATAACCCACCTCAACTACACATCCCTGAGTACTAAGGGCAATTTAGCATAGCCAGTCTGCCTAACCTGCACATCTTTGGGCTGAGAGGGGAAACCGGCGAAACCCACGCAGACATGGGGAGAATGTGCAAACTCCACAGAGACAGTCATCCGAGCGTGGAACTGAACCTGGGTCCCTGGTGCTGTGAGGCAGCAGTGCTAACCACTGAGCCAGCGTGCCGCCCAATTTTCTTTGCAATTTTTATCAACACTCCTGTTTTTGGGAACTACAATACAAAGTCATCCTTAGTTAGAAAATGCTGTTTGAAACTAGATGGTTCAACAGATAACACCGGACAATGGGAGGAATGGGATAAGTAGAAAATGGGAATGAGCACTTTTTTTGGATATCATGGCTGTAATAATTGTAGGTAGGATGTAATTTGTTTTCTGGTTCCTAATATTATCTGAATTCTCAGAGACAAAGCAAAACAGAGTCACTAATTGCTTAGACTAATGCCAAAATATTGTCAGTACTGTTGCCAGGTTAAATAAAATGGGGCCAATTCTGAAGGTTTGAAAAAGATGCCTGAATGATGAAGAATGCTTTCATCATGGTGCAGTGTGTACATCACTTACTTAGACATGTGTATACAAGCCTTATGTATTTTAAAAGACTTAATCTTTGATTTTAGATAACATCTCTTAAATAGTAAATCTTAATACATGAGAAAAATGCAGATACAAGACAGTCAAAGCACAACCTAACAAATAGTGTGACTAAAAGGAGAGGTTTATAGACCTTAAAAGTGAAGAGAGAAGTTTAGACAGAAAGTGTCCCTGGAAACGGAAAACTCTGCACCCAAAAATAAAGGGAAGGACATGTATCAGAATTTCAGGTAGGTTAAGGTTGAAAGAGCAAAGGAAGTCAATTGAAAGACCAAGGGCTGAATCTTAACAAAAATTAACTAAGTGTCATATCTGCCAGGTTTCATGAAAGGTTTTTCCTCTGTAAACCTTGGTGAGTTTTTTTTGTGCAATCATTGCCAACTTGGCAGATTAACCATGGTACCTAGCTCATCCTCTGTTCCTTCTCTCCATAGGGATAAGTACTTGCCATGCTGGAGCCTCCTGGGACTCATGGTGGGCATCGGTTAGCTCAATGGCTGGTTTGTGATTCAAAGTCACGCCAACCATGTAGGTTCATTTCCAGCAACAGCTGAAATTGCCAATGAAGGACTCTCCTTCACGACCTTTCCCCTCTTCTGAGGCATGTTGACCCTCAGGTTAAACCACCACCAGTCAGCTTTCTCTTTCTATGGTCTGGTAAGACTGTGGTGACTTTACCTCATTCAGCAAGACTCAGGCTCAGTCTCCAATTCTTAGTGAATCTGAAAAATACACATTCCCTTCTTTGTAATCTTCCTGTTAACGCCATGGGCTTTGAACTTACCCCATTCCTTTCAACCTATTTAAAACTTCTCCCAGCTCACCTCCCTAGTTTCAAGCATATTGTGTAAATATGCTAGATATAGTAGATCAATGGCCCCACAATACCAGGGCATTGCAGACTCTGGATGATAGCCCCCACCGCCTGATTTGTTGGCATGTTCACACCTCCTGACCATTTTCAAACACACAAGAAAGTGTAGTTAAGGGCTGTCTATAAATAAGTGTATTTTTCTTTATTCTGTCCATAAGAGGAATTTTATTTTGGTGGCATGTGGGCAATTTATTGAAGCCAAATCAGGATGGAGTTGGCCTCCAAGTAGCAGACCAGGAAAATGGGAGTGGCAATATTGGAAACTCACACATTCATCCGACCTCTCACCACCCGCCCCCATCAAGCCTCAGGCATAGCTTTTGGGCCATGGCTGTAACTGCTGGTTGTCCAGTGGAAGCCTTATACTATCTTGAAGCTTCCTTTCTGTCTCCTACCCCCATCAGCAGCTCCCACATCTGATGGCAGGGAAGCTAATTTTTCAATGTTGAAATGTAATTCAATTGTCACGCTTCCCAGAGGTGGCCACATAATTGGCCACCCTCTCGAAAATTTCCCTCTCGGTCCTAGATCTAAGCTGTGTTAGTCTTGGAGATAGCAAGAACTGCAGATGCTGGAGTCAGAGACAACACAGTGTGGAGATGGAGGAACAGAGCAGGGCAGGCAGCATCATTGGAGCAGGAGAGTTGACGTTTCGGGTCGGGACCCTTCTGAATGTTAAGAGATTGCACTAGGGTCCATGTTGCTGGTTTTTGTCTCCACCAGTTACAGTCGTTTCCCAGGATTTACAAATTTAAGTGGCCCAGTTTCACATTGGGGCGTGGTGCATTTATCAACTCATCTAACTGCAAAACTCATCACACATAACAAAAGGACTTATTTAGAAATATCTACAAAAGGGCAGATATCAACAGCAGGAGTTTACAAATGGAGAACTTTACAACATAAGAAAAATGCAGTCTATCATGCCTTTACTAATATGATCAACAAAAGTGTAGTTAAATTTAGGACGGGAAGAAATTAAAAGGGGGCATCTAAAAAAAATAGCTGATTCAATGCAGTTAAGTTTAAAAGTGAAACAATTGTAAGGAACTGACTCTCAAATCCTTAAAATAAATTGTACTGATGTGTGCTAAACTGCCTGAAGAGGGTGCTCAAATCTTATTTTAAATTAATTTCTGAACTTGCCAACCTGTCATGACAAAATAACCCTGTATTCATGTAGTGCCTTCAACGTGGCAAATAAAAACATCCTAAAGTGCTTCAAAGATGTATCAAAGAAAAAAAAAATCCCAAACCACACAAGGACAAATCTGGGCAGATGACACAAACACTTAGTTTGAAGGATTGCCTTAAAAGGGAGAGGTAGAGCTAAAGTGAGGTTTAGGGAGGCAATTTCAGAGCTTAGGACTTTGATACGTGAAGACCAATGGTGAAGTGATTAAAACTGGGGATAATCAGGAGTCCAGAATAGGGGGAATACAGGTATCTTGGAGTTTGTAGGACTAAGAGATTATAGAGATGAAGAGGAGCAAAGCAGTGGAGGATTTTGAGAACAAGGTTATGTCTTTTAGAAACAAGGAGCAAACACAGGGTTATCAATTGCACAGGACTTGATGCATGTAAAATCACATGCCATGAATTTTCATTACTTCAACTTTACAAAAGGTAGAACATGGGAGGGCAGCCAGGAAGTTGTTGGAATAGTCAAGTATAAAGGTAACAGAACATGGAACAGGGTTTCAGTAGCAGAGTCAAATAATACTGCGGAGCTGAAATTAAGTATTTTGCAAATAATCGGGCTGTTAAATTTATCTGAGGGTCAAATATAACATGGTGATTGTGAATCATTTGGTTCAGTCTTAAATGGAGACAGTAATGCAATTGGTGACTCGTGCATGGGTTGAGAGTTGGGGACAGAAAGGAAGTATTTTTATTTTCCCTTTCTTGACAGAAATATACCAACCCATGGAACAAGGAAGACATTGGATTGAATGTTACTTTTGGTGGTAAGTTTGAATTTGAGGTTTTGGAGGGATTCCTACTGCAAGCCTAGCATATTTTCTCACCATATCTTATCAAACTCATCACATAATGACCTGCCCAGCACCTAGGGCATCCCTCATGTCTGATTCCAGCCCCATTTTACCACATGCTGTTCCTTGAAAACCTTGTGAGTCAGCAAATGTCCTGGATATCACCAGCATTCATTGTGCCCACACCGCTTATAAACACTCATTGTACAACTAGACTAATGCTGTCTTTTTGCCTTTCTGCCTTAGATCCCAACAATGTGGAAGCACAATGCCTGGCGTCACAGTGAAAGATGTGAATCAGCAGGGGTTTCTCAAAGCTCTGGGTGTTCTTCTTAAGAAATCTGGCAACTTAGACATACGCAAATGGGTTGACACCGTGAAGCTAGGCAAACACAATAAACTAGATCCGTATGATGAGAAATGGTTCTACAACCGGACTGCGTACACAGTGCGTCATTGGGGGCAGTGTTGGAGTTGGTGCCATGACCAAGATTTATGGTGGCTGCCAGTGGAACAGTATGAAGCCTAGCCATTTCAGCCACAGTTACAAATCTGCAGCTCGGAAGGTGCTACAAGCTCTCAAAGGCATGAAGCTGGTTGAGAAAGATCCCAATGGTGACTGCAGACTGACCTCACAAGGACAGTGATCTGGAGCTGGCCAGGCTGCAGCAGTGAACAAGAAGCCTTGAATATGTGTGTCGTATATTAGAGAATGATTGAAGTCTTCAGTTCTAAAAAGAAACATTGTCCAGAGCTGCCCTACTTAGCTCCTGGTATTTGCCCTGGTCAGGGCAGACAGGAGGATATTGGCACCCTGTTGTGTGGGCAAGGATCTGGAGATACTGCAGATGTGGGACTTCCTCATTCCCACAACACCAGACCATGCCTACCTGATGCATGATTGTCACCCAGGTTAAAATTGTCTCGACCGTCTGGAAGAAGAAAGTCAATGACCTCCACTCTTCCAGCATAAGTGCTACGATTGTCTTTCTGTTACCTCATATCTACTCTACTTTGCTACTGTACCTACCTCCCACCATGGCTCATGCTGTATTGTTCTCAGCAGTTTCTGCCTGCAGCATTTTCCTTCACTTGCGCTCATCAACCCCAACACTGACCTGCACATCCTTTACACTGCCTACTCACTTTGGGCACATTCCCACCCGCACCAGAAATAGTTGCACCAGCTCTGCCACTGACTTTCAGCTTCCTCAATACGTGCTTCACTCTTATTCCAGAAGAAACCCCAGTCAAGCAGATAGAGTCAAGACAGGTGGTGGACTGCCTGCTATTCAGCTCTCAACTCTTATGGTGGGGAGATCCTGATTCTGACCAGGCCAAGTGGCTGACTGACTGTTTCCAAGCCCCTAGATTGATAATGGAGTCTGCCTTGACTTATTCTGCCTGGTCCCCAGATAAAGGATATGCCCCTCGATTTAACTGAAGCATGTTGACAACTACGTCAAGTTTCCTGGTTTTGTGTTTGCACTAAACAGCAAGGAAAGACAGAATGAACATGAGCCATGCCTGTCCGTTAAGGCAGCAAGATAAAGGCAGAGCAGTGCCAGGCAGGGATGCTGTGAGCATTTAGGTCAAGTTCACTCCATGAGTTGGGTGCATTTCCTTTCTGCTATATTACAATGATTGTTGCCATTGCAGCTCGAGGAGCAACTTTGAAGTGCAAAAGCTTCCTATAAGTGCATTAGAGAAGCACCATGAGGGATCTTAGAGGCTGGCACATATCAGATGCTAATGACCACGGACCTGGGAATGCGCGTGGGTAGTGCCAGTGTACCCTGAGATGTTGGTGCCTGGTATCCATGATGGAGATCGTTCAGATCAAGCAGCAAGCTGAATTTGCCAGGTACCCATACTAGTTTCCACATTATGTTTCTTGATGTCTAGCTTGTTTGGTGAGTTTAGTAAAATAGAAAGCTGAATATTAATAAAGCAAGTTGGGCTATCAATGACAGGTCTAACAAACTTTAATCACCATCAATTGGCAACTTGCTACTGCCAAATGACAATCTTGCCCGATCACTTGTGAAAAGAGTTAGAGCAAGGTGCTCCTGATGTCGAGATGGGCCTCACTGGACTTCCCATCTAATTCTGCCACAAATCTTGCCATAGCACATGACTCAGATCCCTACGAGATTCCACCCACTGAAACTATGGCACACAAATTCTTGGGCGATGCCAAACATTTACAAGGCATAATCATTGACAGCATCAGTCTCAAAGTTGCAGAATAATTCTGTTACCTTGTTAGTTTTCTCTCAAGGGATACGACAGTCGATGAAGTTACCAATGCATACATTACATGTTGTCTGTTGTGTGACAGTTGTTCTTCAGTTTGATGGTTGATCAGGTGGACCTTGGCCTTATTTATTTCTTTTAAATGTTTTCAGAAAAAAAACGTGTGACTATATGTTAAGAGTAATAGTCTAATACAGGAGTCAGGAAACAAAGTTATATCATTTATTGACTGCTTTTTAAGGAAGGATGCAATGTGTACACAATGCCATATAATCTAATATACTCATTAGTGGAACACTCAGAAATATACAAAAATGGCGGTTAAAAAATATCAAACATGATAATTAAAATGCTGAACTGTCCTAAAACTATATTCAGAGTATAAAAGAAAAAAAAAATTAAAAACAGAAATTGCTGGAAAACTCAACAGGTCTGGGATAATCTGTGGAGAGAAAGCAGAGTTAATGTTTCAGGTCCAGTGACCCTTCTTCAGAACTTCTTTCATAAAAAAGGTTGAACTTCTATAGTGCTTTTAATAACTTCAGGACATCGTAAAGTGCTTGTTCCATGTACAGTTATTGTTGTAATGTTGAATATTTTAATGTTGTAGTATTATAATAATGAGGTAATTTGCTTATAATTTGTGTTTATTACCTTAGGTACTCTTCTGACAAATCACTTTAAAACTTCTCACTGTGACAAACATCCACAGTGACAGAAGAACTGCACAACAAGGCTTCTACAAGAAAAGGCCATGGTGAACAAATTTGGTTGAGTTTTTTTTCCAGGGTGTCACAAGGGTAGTAGTTGAGGGAATTCTGGTAGACATTGACCACCCGAGCTGCACTCAGATTAGATCTAGCGACTAAGAAGTTATAGGTAACAGCTTTGAATCAGTTTGGTGGCTTGCTACTAATGTTGTCTCTCAGAATTAGTCCTAGGTCCATTACACTTATTACTAGTTTTTCTTAATGACCTGGACAACAGCACTGGAAGTATGGCAAGTTTACACATGACACCAAACACTGTGCAAGGGTTAGATGCCGTGACCTGACTGGGAAGAGTTTGCCAATAATCGTGCCCCACTGTTCCCCAAGCCTCTACAAAAATATGTGAATGCAAAACATTCCAACGATTCTGTGAAAATAACCAATTTGTTCAACTGCTAGTCCAGGCAAAATCGGTAACAGAAAATAACCATAATATAGTTAGCTTTAAAAAGAGCACAGATGACAAAGGATTTCTAGTCTACCACGTTGCAATACTCCGTCAAACTCCCAAATATACAAGCATTCAAATACACAGATACACTATGATTGGAAAAATAACATAGAAAGAGTAAACAAAATTCAGAAAATCCAAAGTACAAATCACAGGTGCAAACTTATTTTCTCACTACTCTTTTGGTCTTAGAAATGATGACACAATTGTATGCTCTGTGTTGGGTGACAGTTATTCCTCAATTTGATGGTTAATCGAGTAGGCATTGGTGTTATTTGTTTCAGAATTCTTCTTGTTAAGTGTTTCTAAAAGAAAATCTGTCATTTTTGTACATGGAGAGAAAGAAAGGGGGGGCAGTAGATGCTTTCTGTTTGTAGGCTCCAGAAATTTCTTTCTGGCACATACTGCAGCTCAACCAAAGGCTGTTGTCCTCACCTCAAAAGACTGTTGGTCTCAAACCCTGCCTCTTATACTTCAAAAAACGTTACATTGCAAAGCTCAATAATATTCAGCATTTGACTTTCAAGTTTCAAGATTTGCCTGTTTTTTTCCCCCAGTTATAGCAATCCAACTTCCATTACAATTTGTAGGTCCAAAAAAAATAGTTTCTTAGAGTGTAGTTGAATCCAAAATGATTGAGGCGTGTTTGGGGAGTCGAGCTCATATTAGCAAATAGCAGTTAATTTAGACACATATTGTGTATGTTAGTTAAACCAACTCATGCACAAATTATTTGAATGGGGTCAGAAGAAATAAAGGTCTTTATGTTATGGTAGTTAGATAACTGAAGTGAGCAGAGAAGCCATACCTGAAGTTAACACAGTATTGCATTATATTAATAGCATTATTCAATACAAATTAAATAACAAATTTGATACGACATAGATAACACAGTGGAGAGCTGGAGGAACACAGCAGGCCCTACTCCTCTGATGCTGCCTGACCTGCCGTGTTCCTCCAGTTCAACACTGTTTTATCTCTGACTCCAGCATCGGCAGTTCATACTATCTCTGATATGGCATAGATCACTGGTTAGACTGTTCTAGAGTAGCCCTGTCAAGTTTAGGTATATATTGAGGTTTTACAAAAGATTACAATTAGATTTTATTGTCACGTGTACTCAAGTACAGGGATACAGGAGTATAGTGAAAATTATATAATATCACCTTTCCCAGTGCCATCTTAGGTACAAAAGTACCTAGCTACAAAATCTTAGGTACAATGTTGAAAATATGTAAATATAGTTAAAAATTCAACATTAACGTTCCTCTTAGTAGAAAAATAAAGAAACAAAAGTTAAAAGTTCAACATTGCAGTCCTTCTTAGGTGCCTTGGCCATGCTGGCCTTGCACTCCCTACAAAAGTTTGATCTCCTCTGTGTTGGGTTTGATCTGCTCCAAGTTGGGCAACTGCACAAGTAAATCCCAGCTTAAAACTTCACTCATCTAGATAAATTAATAGATGAAGGCTCTTAACTAAGAGCAAAATAGGTTGAAAGATGACCTGATAAAGGGTGTTAAAATTACAAGTCTATACAATACTACTATAGTTGGGGACAATCATGGGACATGATTTTAAACAAAGAAAAAGTAGGAATAGACTAAATATTCAGCAGAATTGAAAGCCTCTGAATACACTACCAGATGAGGAGTGTTGACTCTGTATGCATTCAAGGGAGAGATGGAATGGTTCTTTGCTGGGCAGAGATCACATTAAATAAAAAGAAACTGGATTAATAGTTAACATGTGTGTGGTCATTGCATTCCTCTATACTGTTGTTAAATGTCCAAAGGACCAGAGGAAAGGTTTCCAGAGCTTTTTTTTCTTAATGACCTTGTTTCTTTTCTTTTATTTGTTTCTTATGGGAAATGACATAGCTGCAGAGATTGGAGATTAAGGAATACTTTGGACAGCCTTGATGCTCTTTGGTTGCTCTTTTCTTGGTCATCATTTTATGTTTGTGGATTAAGGCAGAGTGGGCAGATAGAAGCCAGAAAATAAGAAACTCTCAAAGATGAGACTACGAGATTGTAGCAAGAATAGGGCTATGAAAAGCAAGGGAGAAACATAATTATTTTAACAAAAACATCCAGCAAACCAACAATCCTGCACGCCTTCTGAATTTGGCAGAGGTAAACAGATCATTAGAAGCATAATAGATATTTGAGTCAACGTTACAGATCAAACAAATCAAAACAATAGACAACATGAAATGAATATTTTTAATAACACAGAATTTAGCAGGCCTCATGTGTCCAAAGATGTGAAGGCTGAGGTCACGCAGGGCATTTGTGAGACCTCTTCTGGCACAGTGTGTCCAGTTCTGGTCCAGGGGTCAGAACAGATTTACCAGGATTTTGCCAGGTATGGAAGGTTTGAGGTATAAAGAAAGGCTGCATAGCTGGGACTTTTTTCACTGGAGTGTAGGAGGTTGAAAGGTGACCTGAAAGAAGTTTATAAAAGAATGAGAAGTGTAGATAGAGTTGATGGTAGTTGTCTTTTCCCTAGCATGGAGGATTTCAAGATTAGGGGGCACACGTTTAAGGTGAGAGGAGAGAGATTTAAAGAGACATGAGGGGCAAATTTCTTTTACAAAGGGTGGTTCGTGTGTGGAACGAATTCCTGAGGAAGCGATGGACGTGGGTACAATTACAACATTTAAAAGACATTTGGATAAGTACATGAGTAGGAAAGGTTTGGAGGGATATTGGCCAGGAGCAGGCAGGTGGGATCAGTTTAGTTTGGGATTATGTTTGGCATGGACTGGTTGGACTGAAGGGTCTGTTTCCGTGCTGTATGACTCTATGACTCCTCTATTTGAATTTCATCATGTGGTTCATTGAGGATGTTTCTTCAATCAATGCAGTGGTTGTGGACCATTAAGTTTCAATGTACTTTTTTTGTTATACATTTAAAATGGGTATGTAATCATTATTATTAATAACTAGATAAACAAACTTTGTAAAGGCCACAAGCTAAAGTACATTTCTCAGTCCCTAAAGCTCCTTCACTACAGCACCTAACTGGCATTAAATTAGTCCTGGATTTTTTTCCTTCCATTGATTCCACTTACTGGCTGTAAAGAATAATCTCCTAATGTTCTCTAAGAAAGCTATTGTAAATATATGTGTGTATCATAATATGCGTACTATGGTCAGTTTTTTTTACAGCTTGATGTTACTAAAGAAATATATACAGTAGTTTATTCATAATTTATTGAAAGAGTATTAATATTATTAAAACTTTTTGCATATTACAGATAGATACATTTCTATCACCTTAGTTTTAGTTTGAGCAAAACAATTAACGTATTCAATATAACCCCCTTCTAGGGCTTAATCAGTTTCATGCAGTCCTCTCCAAATTTATCACTATTCCAATACCTGCAAAGAGTCATTGGCACAAGATGGAACTCTCAGTTTATGCCAAGAACTTGAGCCACCACCTAAAAAGTCCAAATAAAATACCAGAGCAAAATATATATTATACTTCAGTTAGCAGTTGAATCTTCTTCTGGAAACCTCTCTCTTGTTTGCACAATTTCAAGTGCAGAATAAAGTATCACTTAACTAACCATTCTTGTTGTAGCACAAAAATGTCTTTTAGAATACTGAATGAAAGATTAAAGTTGGCACATGTTGGTGACTACTTAATATACAGAATTTATACATTTAGCATAAAGTTCACTACTTAGTGGTATTTATATCATTTGGGGTCCTGACGATATAATGACAAAGTACCATACAGTGAAATTCCATTGAATGTTAAATATAATGTACCAAATAGTCCTCTTCTATAATTGCACAGATACTCAAGGCTTTTGTGAGTTCAAGTAAACAAGAAGCATAAGTATGTGAAAATATTTTCCTATGCAAATATATCATTGCTGATCATATTGTTAAGGAATACAGGAAGGAAATGACTGCTGAGAAAGAATAGTACCAACGACTGCGAGCAATGAATACTTTTTCTACTTCAGGGATGTGCTTCAGAATTAAGCAATACAGTAATGAAAATCTAAACGATGTATGCGATGTTCGTTTGTTTCTATCTTCTAGGAGGATGTAGTCAAATTTTACAGCAGAGGCTCCACGCCAAAATCAACTCGATAAATCAGAACTTTTTTCCCTCAAACAATTCCCAACTTTATCCCAGCTAATTTCCTGTCTCTTTTTAATTAATTGGGGTTTTACTTTCACCCTGGCATAGACGTTTCTGGTTCTCTTTGTGTTTTACAGCTGGAGTTAACGCCTCCCCTCCCCCCCCAACATCCAATTCACTGCAGAGTTCACTAAATTCTCCCATTGTGCGGTCTCCACCCAGTCCACATTAAGGGTCAACAGTGCTGGCAAGTATGTTCATAGCAACACAGAGAAAGTTCCAGCACTTTTGAACTATAAAGACTACTCTGTAAGTATTCAATTTATCATAATATCCTTCGTTTCACTGGAGCTGCGGGGGAAGAGCTGAAAAAAACATCGCACACTGCATTTGATCTCCCCGCCCCATCCTAAAAGACAGATAACACTGCACAAACTGAAAAGAAAAAGACAAATGGGTTTCTGCATAACCCACACTGTATGTATTTCACGTCTTGTAATACTGCAGTCTTCCAGCTGTTGACCACATGATGACTGCTGTTAAAAGTAGTAAAATCCCTGCACCAATTGAAACTGGTCAATGCTGGGAGGTTTTATCAGTTATTGCACGTACAGTTAAAAACAGATCACACCATACAAAAACAAACCTCCACACAGGCGGGTCCACGCCTACTTCTTTCTGGTACAGCTTCTCAGGATAAAGGTAGGGATCAGAACAGTTGGAAAATTAAAAACTCTGGAAGCACTAATTTGATTTCCTTGCGGACATTTTCACAATTTTTATTTAATGCCAAAATGTGTCGAAGGACTAAAGATTTATGTGAATAAGCTTTGCTGTTAAACCACAGCTGGGTGGTCATCAGATCGCTGCTTCTCTCCCTCAGGTAATGATTATTCAGGCAAGACGTCGGGAAATTTAACTCACCGGCGCTGCAATGTGCCGGGTCAGATTTTAACTTATGAGACTTTCTTTAAAAAAATATTTTAAGTCTGTTCCATCAGTCACCCAAACCCTTTTTATGGGCCCCCGGGGGCGGGGGTCTACGGCAAAAGGGTTTCTGAATGAATCATGCGGTGGTCCTCAGTGGTTGATTTTTTTTGTATATATGCCACGTTTGTGCAGCGTGTTTTTATTCTAACACATTGCAGCGAGAGGAATAATACTTAAGGCGGATGGGGGGAGGTAAAAGAGTGTTTTAGATGGAGAGCGTTTATATATTTTCAAGGAATTGTACACCACACCCATGAACTCCTCGCGTTTAAATGTACTTACAAGTGCTGGTATCGGTGTACGTGAGCCTCTTCCCCGTCAGGGCGGGGGGTGGGGGGAGGAAACCGTTGGCCGTTTATTTTTAAACGGCCCCGAATATTCAGCCTCGTGCGGCGGAGCCCGCCTCCGGCTAGGCGCAGGCGCAGTAAGGGCCTGGCCTAGCTCGGCTTGGTCTGGGCGTCGTGTCCGTCCATCCCCGCCTCTTTCTGTTCGAATCAACTTGCCCGAACTCTCTCGGGGAGGGGGCTTGTCTGCCGGAGGCAATTTAAAGCCAACGGAATGCTTCTTCGGATGTATTGCGCGGTGAAGAAGGACTTAGCAAAGAGGTATTGGTAATATTGCTGCAGCTTCTCCTGTTCTTCCCTTTACTTAAACGTTTCACTATCCGTATAAAGAGGGGAATATCAGTTTGTTGTTTATAATCGAGACTACGTTCTTTACAAATGGACCGGCGCGTTCAAAAATGCTGCTGGAAAGGTTTCTCCCTCCCCGAACAGTTTAAAAGGAATCAAGTGTGTTTTCTCTTTCCTCATCTCCACCCCAGTGATTGTGGTGTAAATAGCCTTTATGGCCGCTTTGAACCCCAGCCCCGGCGTGGTGGCTGCTTGTTCTCCCACAGCTATGTGGTTTGCTTACTCTCCAGCAAATCTGATGCAGCAGCGAGTTTAAAACAGTTTTTAATCAGGTTCTCGTCGGGTGTGTGTGTGTGGTTTTTTTTTTGATGGTCGTTTTGGTGCTTCCAGATTGCGGCGATGAGGATTTCAGTGGAGTATGTGCGTGGGTTGCACGGATTGTGGCTGTTGTTCAGCTTCCCTTCTGCTTTGGCAGATGAATATCAATACCAAAAGTGTTGACTGAGATTCACAAAACCTTACTTAATCACAGAAGATTCTTTACTAAGAACTGCTTTGTGATTGGACTTTCCGTCAGACTTTTAGTATAGCAGCTGGATTCTAGTAAACAATAACACGTTTTGTTTTCCAACTTGTGTTATGATACGTTAAATGACCCTGTGGGAACTCTGCGTGGACTTGAGGTATTACTTTATTAGCAAACAGTAGATTTAGCATTATTTTTACTGTGCTAAGGTGGGTTTTGCTTTTGAACTGGAGTGTATTGAGAGACATAAGATCTTTGAGAGAATTCTCCCAGGACACATCAGCTTGTTTCAATTATCACACTTAATCACTCAGTTATTGGTTTTTGAAGCATTGACTTCTGTCTGTATAGTGTGGATTGGAGTGGCCTTGCTTTTTTGGCTGACCAAAATTGCAGCAAAAACTGGTTAGTCAGATGTTTTGTTTGCAACTTTCATCACAAATATACATAGATTGAAGTACAGAATTAATGTTGCCTAATAAAATGCTGTAGTGATGTTAAAGATTTGTCTGAACAAGTGTATAATTCAAGAACAATTTTGTACAGTAAGTATGTTATATGATTGAAACAGAAATCTTTTAGTTTATTTAAATCATTTGTGCATTCTGTATTAGCAGTACAAGTGTGAATGATCAGGTCTTGGATCTGTCTGATGAACAAAATACTGGCACGGGAGGGGGGAAATATGCCTTCAAAACTTTGGGGAAAAAATTGCAATATTTATTTCATTGTTTCTCCTATGATGCTGCAAAATATGGCAATACATAAAGCTCTGATTATGTAATCCACTGGAACAATTAATTACAAGACTGCAATTTATGTTGATGTGTGAACCTATTTGAGTTTCTCATTCGCTTTGTAAAGCGAACTGGATTGGAGTCTTGTGGCACAATGTACCTAACTCCAAGCCAAAAAATTTCTGGGTTCAAGTCCCACCTGCCTTGGAGGTGTGTCACAACATGTGTGAACAAGTTGATTTAAAGTAACTATAAAGCAAACTGGGATCGAACATCAGTCCTGCTAAAGGAGAAGTATTCTGTCCAAAATATGTAATGTGAGATACCTTTGATGTTGAACACTTGTAATCTAATTTATTAATGCCCTGCTTGTTTAGACTTAAAATAGAGTCATAGACTCATACAGCATGGAAACATACGTTTTGGCCCAACTCGTCCATGCTGACAAAGTTTCCCACTTGCCTGCATTTGGCCCATATCCCTCTGAACCATTCCTATTCATGTACCTGTTGAAATTTCATTTTTAAAAGTGAAACTGTACCTGTGCCTACCACTTCCTCTGGCAGTTCATTCCATATACAAACAGCTGTCTGTGTGGAAAAAGTGCCTGTCGGATCCCTTTTTAAATCTTTCCCTTCACCTTAAATCTATGCCCTCTCTAGTTTTTTTGGACCCCCCCCCCCCCCCCCACCAAGGGAAAAGACCTTGGCTATTCACCTTATCTATGCCCCTCATGATTTTTAAACCATTATAAGGTTTTAGATTAGATTTGTAGCTCGTGGGATTTGTAGGATCCTGGGACAAGCGGAGCAGAGACAAGCAAGGGAATTCCTAGAGCCTGGTTCTCCACTGAGAGCGGTCAATAAACATGTAGAGCTAGACCCCGTACACACTCCATTGTGAAGGAAAACCAGAAGTGAAGTAATCCAGCTCAATGGACACCAGAGTTTAAATAACGGGCGGGAAAACAACAGCGCTTCATCGGAGGCTGCGCTGATGATGATGTTACCCAGCAAGGTAATGAAATGCCTGCAGAACAATGAACCAGCTCGGCAAGCCGACCAACCACAAAACTTCTATAAGGTCTTCCTTCAACTTTCTACCCTCCAGTGAAAAAGTCCCAGCCTTCCCAGCTTCTCCTCAAAATTCAGAACCTCCAGTCCCAGCAACATACTAGTAAATGTTTTCTGCATCCTCTCCAATTTAATAATAGCCTTCCTATAGCAAGGCAACCAGAACTGCGTGCAGTACTCCAAAAGTGGCCCCACCAACGTCCTAAACAATCTCAACATGATATCCCAACTACTGTACTCGGTGGTCTGAGCAGTGAAGATGGGCGACACGGTGGCACAGTGGTTAGCACTGCTGCCTCACAGCGCCAGGGACCTGGGTTCGATTCCAGCCTCGGGCGACTGTCTGTGTGGAGTTTGCACATTCTCCCCGTGTCTGCGTGGGTTTCCTCCGGGTGCTCCGGTTTCCTCCCACGGTCCAAAGATGTGCAGGTTAGGCGGATTGGCCATGCTAAATTGCCCGTAGTGTTCAGGGAGGTAGAGGGTGTATATTAGGTGGGTCATAAGGGAATGGATCTGGGTGGGATGCTCTGAGGTTCAGTGTGGACTTGTTGGGCCGAAGGGCCTGTTTCCACACTGTAGGGATTCTAATTCTAATTCTAAACACCTTCTTAACCACCCTGTCTAACTGTGACGCATGTACCTGAACCTCTAGGTCTCTCTGTTCAACAACAGGTTCTTACCATTAACTGTATAAGGCCTGTCCTTTTTTTTTTTTTTGCTTTACCTAAATGCAATACGTCACATTTATCCAAATTAAGCTCCATCTGCCACTTCTCGACCTATTGGCCTAATTGATAAAGATCCCTCCATACTGTTAGATAACCTTCTTCACTGTTGACTGTACCACCAATTTTGGTATCATCCGCAAACTTACTAATCATGCCTCCTAAATTCTCATCCAAATTGTTTACATAAATGACAAATAACAGTGGTCCCAGCACTGTTCCGTGCAGAACACCGCTGGTCATAGGCTTCCACCGCCCTCTGTCTCCAACTGTGTGGAGAAAAAGAGTTGAATTTCTAAAGCTGCTGTCTGTTGGTATGCTCTGTGGACACCATGTGATGAAACAGTAGATGCTATTTTGCCTTATGACAATCCAGCTATTACTTGTGATCACTTTGGAAGAAGTCATGTTTTATAGTTGCCCTACTGTAAAAAGCCCATGGGAGGTGCATAACTATTGCTTCATGATCTTTGCAACTAAAATTGCATGCATTCCCAATGATGGTTTAACTGTATGTTTCTTTTTCCACCATCAACGTTAACCTCTTGTGGGGGTGGGGGGTGGCGGTGGCGGAAAGGTGTTTGTATGGGGGCAATAAAAGCTCCCGGTGACTTGAGTGAATATATTGTTGATACAAGTTAGCCAGGAAGGAGCTGAAGAAAGGGCTTAGGAGAGCTAGATGGGGGCATGAGAAAACCTTGGCAGATAGGATCAAGGAAAACTCCAAGGCTTTTTACACGTATGTGCAGAACAAGAGAATTACCAGAGAAAGGGTAGGGCCGATCAAGGATTGTAAAGGGAATTTGTGCACAGAGCCTAAAGAGATAGAGGTCCTAAATGAATACTTTTTTCCTCAGTATTCACAACTGAGGGACCTAGTTGTAGAGGAGGACGTTGTGAAACAGGCAGGTAGGCTAGAGGAGGTTGACGTTAGTAAAGAAGATGTGCTAGGAATTCTGAGGAAGTTGAAGATAGATAAGTCCCCCGGGCCTGATGGGATTTATCCAAGGATTCTATGGGAAGCGAGGGACGAGATCGCAGGGCCTTTGGCGATGATCTTTTCGTCCTCACTGTCCACGGGTATAGTGCCGGAAGATGGGAAAGAAGCAAACGTCATTCCTTTGTTCAAAAAAGGGAACGGGGATAACCCTGGAAATTACAGGCCAGTTAGTCTTACGTCAGTGGTAGGCAAATTATTGGAAAGGGCTCTGAGAGACAGGATTTATGATCACTTGGAAAGGCGCAGTTTGATTCGTGATAGTCAGCATGGATTTGTGAGGGGTAGATCATGCCTCACAAACCTTATTGAATTCTTTGAAGAGGTGACCAAACACGTGGATGAAGGTGGAGCAGTGGATGTAGCATACATGGATTTAAGTAAGGCGTTTGATAAGGTTCCCCATGGTAGGCTCATGCAGAAGGTAAGGAGGCATGGGATAGGGGGAAATGTGGCAGATTGGATTCAGAATTGGCTGACCCTTAGTGGACGGAAAATATTCAACATGGTGCTCAGTTACGTGTGGTGTACCACAAGGATCTGTTCTGGGTCCTCTTCTATTTGTGATTTGGATGAAGGAGTGGAAGGGTGGATTAGCAAGTTCGCGGACGATACGAAGGTGATCACATTGTGGACAGTGCGGACGGCTGTTTTAGGTTACAAAGGGACATTGATAGAATGTAGAGCTGAGCTGAGAAGTTGCAGATGGAGTTTAACCCTGAAAAGTGTGAGGTGATTCATTTTGGAAGGACAAACTTGAAAGCAGAATACAGGGTTAACGGAAAGATTCTTGGCAGTGTGGAAGAGCAGAGGGATCTTGGGGTTCATGTTCACAGTTCCCTGAAAGCTGCCACCCAGGTGGATAGAGTTGTTAAGAAGACGTAGGGTGTGTTAGCTTTCATTAATAGAGGGATT